TGGACGCCGACCAGCACACGCCGTGGGCCGGCCACGGCTCGCAGCTGGACAAGGCGAGAAAGCGAGGCTGGCGGGCTCTCCCGAGGCCGCTCCCTCTCCAGCCTCCAGTGCCCTGGTGACCCCTCACCACCCAGGCCTGTGCGGGCCGGGCAGCCGGAGACGGAGGCCACCTCCCGTGGGGCCATCGTCCGGGAGCCAAGCACCAACCCTTGTTGACCTGGCGGGGGTCTCACTACTGGCCGCCGCGCAGGGCACTCAGCCGCTGAGGCGCCCGAGGGGCCGGCGGGCAGGTGAGGGCTCACCGCAGCTCCGGGAGGGCAGGAGGGACGAGCAGGGCCAGGCAGGCCCTCTCCCGGCCGCAGCCTGGCCGCCCCCCCTCCGCCCGAGGGCAGCGCAGGTGTGGGCTGCGGGCATGGCACCCGCTCTGGCGCTCGTCTGTCCAGGACGTGGCGGCCAAGGGCCTCCCTGGAAGTGACCGTCCTCTCGGCCACGCCGGCCAAGCGGGGCCGGCGCCAGCGCTGGCGGTGCCCACTCGGCTGCCGGCCGGCCCCAGGCTTCATCAGGGAGCCCCGCGCTCTGCCAACGAGGAATGAGTCCATTAGCGCTGAGACTAATAAACTTTAAAAAGTTAATAATGTGAATATGTTTGCTTTGGAATCATGCGCGCCGCGTCGCGAGCCACAGAAACGACGCGCTTCATCTGTGTGACTTCCTCCCTCCCGTTGCTGGGGGGGCTGGGGGGGCTTCCCAGTCTCAGAGCGTGACTCCTTCTCCAGAATCACAGGGTGCCGCCCCCCACCCCCAGCCTCCCGATGGACGCACGTCACAGACAAAATTGACAATGGCCAGAAATCATAAAAGGACCGACGGTTTCCGCCTCCCTTTGGTTTCTGCTTTTCCTGCCGGCCCTCGTCCTGCGCGGGCCAGGGCTGCCAGCGCTTCCAGCAGCCGGGCTCGGGGCTCGTCACTCTGCGCTCACGGTGGCTCTCGAGGACGCGTGGCTTGGAGCACGGTCAGAGATGCCCCGCGGGTGTCCGAGGACACGGCTGTCATCCGCAGCGGCGCGGGTGGAGGCTGCGGGCGCTCGGAGGAGCTGCACCCTGTGACCCGCTCTCACTTCCGCCGCTTGACCTCTGGCCAGACAAGGGCCCTCTGGGACTCAGTTCCTCGCCTGGAGTGAGGAGGGTGGGAGCAGCTCCCGGGGGGTGAGGGGTGCCTGCCCCTGCTGAGGACGGATGAAAGCCCTTAGACCAGTGCTCCGGAGGGCAGGCCCCGGCTCAGCCGAGGAAGGAAAGCTGTCTCGGGTTTCTCTAGTGGGAGAAGGAACCTGGCGCGCAGGCTCGTGATGCTGGAGGCCGCGGGGCACTCAGGGTCCGCTCCCCCCCAGCGGCCTTGGGAGGCAGGAAGGGCTCTTGCAAGTCACGGCCAGCACAGCGGGGAGAGCCCCGGCCCCTGCGCCCCGCCGCTCCTGCCCGTGGGCCTTCCCACCTGCAAACATCATCTTACCTGAGGAGGAGGGACCACGACCCCGATCGATCTCTTGCCAATGAGAAAAATGGGGGGCATCGTTTCTTTCCATATTGACCAGCAGCTCTCCTCAAATAAAACAATTTGTCCTGCAATTGACTATGTGCTCGGCATGTAATCAGGTTTTTCCCTTGAAAGAATAACCGTAATGTGATCAGCGATTGACGAAAACTTTTGTTTTACTAGGTTCCTTCCTTGTGGAAATGTAATTTAAGAGGAGCCACACAAATCTTGTAGCAGAGATGTGCAGCCAATATTACTGCTGTATGAAAAAAAGCATTTTTTTCGTACTGTCTGGGATCCTTTGTTGATCTAATTTCAGAAAACTCCTGGACCAGGGCTTACCTGCCCTGCAGAGGAGGCCAAGCCTTCAGAGTCTACAAAGATTGGAACAGCTGTCAGAAACCACTGGATTTCTGTCGCATTCACCTCATTTACCCAAAGGTCCTGCTGATCTTATTCCATTACCTTGTAGGCCAGCCCTGGTCAGGCCCAGCCCGCTGGAGACTCACCTGGAGAATGTCTTTGCACACGGAGCCCGGGCTCCGCAGCCAGAAACCCTGGCCCAGGGCTGGGGCGGGCTGAAAGCATGCTCTTCCGACGGGCGTGGGTGCTGCGGGGGCAGTGTTTTAGGGTCGGCGGCCTCATGTCTGCAGTGCTGCTCGAGCTTGCTCCAGGGCCGTGAGGGCATCTAAGTCTGCACTGGGGCGAGGGAAGCCTTTGAACCCGGGTCCCAGAGGAGCCCCCCACTCTGTGGAGAGACTGAAAAAGGAGTCACTTGGGTCCACAGGCTTATGATAGTCACCAAAAAGCCTAGGCCAGAAAGAGGGCTGCCTTCACCCCGCTTGTCCCTGTATCTGATGTCTGCTCTGTTGGTGTGTGTGTTTGCACGTGCCTGTGTGTGCGGGCATGTGTGTGTGCACGCACGCGCACAGGCTGGTGGAGTTGGCACAGTCAGGAAGGCAGAAATTGGATGCTGGCAACCTTGGCAGTCACAGAGTCGCTGATTTTGCTATCTCTCCCCTTCTATTTTCAATTCACTTGGGGGCTCTTATACAGTAAACACAGTTATAAGGTTTCAAACCTCAGTGCTTGACATGTTAATTCATAATTTGCCATAATCAGCACTTTCCTAAGAATGCCGTTTGCAGGCTTCATGCATGTAGCTGGGACATAATTTGCATCTTTAGTTTTTGCTGTTTGATCGACTCGGGTCCTGCAGGAATTCTGTGGCCTCTCGGGCAGGCAGGGGCAGGGCTGCACTGTGTACAGAACAGCATGGCAAATTGGCCTAGAGCCAGAAAATTTACTTGCCGCTGGGAAGAAGCTGGTTTTCTTTCAAGACAGCTCGGGGTGAAGAGTCTTTTCTGAGAGTCTCATCTGGCTGTAAAGTGAAACTACAGAGAAATCGATTTCCCTTCTGCGCCGTGCGCGCGGTGAACGCAGCCTTGCAGCGTCTTAGCAAAGGAATTGGAAAGGAAATTTAGGGGGGAGCCGGGATTAAGGTCAATGGTTGGAGACAACCTAATTGGTCTTCCTTCCATGTCTTCTATAGCATCCAATGTGGCTCAAGTAGGGGTGCATTTCTGTCCTTACCTACACCCTCAGGGACACCCACTCTGGTATCCCTCGCACGAGGATGTCACGGTGTCTGTGTTTTGTATCATAAAACACACACCTGACCGATGGCAGCCAAGAGGAGCAGTTTCCGTGTATGTCCTTTAAAGGAGGCCTAGGGGTGGGGAGAGCACGGCATTAGCCGCCACCAGGACGCACAGCCACGCCCACGGTAGCCGCGGAAACTTGGTGACCAGAGAGTCGGTGAGTTGTCTGCCATGCAGGTCTTGTCTGCATCAAAACAGCTTTCGGGGCTTCACTGGTGGCGCAGGGGTTGAGTGCAGCGCTCTGACGCTATCTGCAGCCACTGCAGCGCGAGTTCGATCCCCGCCCAGGGAGCCGACCCACAGGGCACAGCAGACTCTCCTGTCTCCCCGCTGCTCCCCTCAGCAGTGGATTTCAGTCGATCTACCTGTTCTGCTCCCCACTCTGTCTCTGGTGAATCCTCTCATCCCCCCAACCTCTGGCCTGCACCCCAGTTCTTGTGTGCATAAAAATAAAACAGCTTTCAGCCTTGCTCTAGGGACTTGGCCCAAACCGCTCCCCCTGCCAACCCGCAGCCAAGGTGTCTTGTGGGGTCTGTGCTACGATGTCCTGACAGTCAGTGCACAGTGATGACAAAAGCTTAGCATTGGGGCAAACAACTTGGGGGTTGTCAGCCCCTCTACGGCTACGCAGGCTTCTCTCTGTGAGACAATTAGGAAGAGCAGCGATGTCGTTTAAGTGGCATTTGTTACAAGATTCAGAGCATCTCGGGCACCCCTGCCTGAGGACAGGTGGACGGGCCTGGGCCCTGAGGGGCAGTGGCGGGTGTGGGCATTGGCATGGGTCCCGTCCTTCCCCTGGGCACACAGCGGGGGCCTCGGTGAGGGCGGTGTGCAGGCCACGTCACGCGCGCGTGGGGACTGTCCAGGGGATGTGAGTATCACATCCGATGTTTTAAAACGGTGACTCATGTCCGTGATTAAAAAGCCTGGCGCTGAGGGGACGGGACGCCATCCATCAGCAGGAATCAAGCCAAATCTGTAATTGCAGAACTCCAGAGCTTCAGGGCGATACCGTCAGTCTTTATCTCTGCTCCGGTCTTCAGCATTAGGATTTCGACCTACCTCACTTATGGAGAAATTACAAAGGGGTGGATGTCAAGGTGGAAATTAAATATTTCCCGGAGACACCCGCCCCATTTTTAACACACTTGCTCGCCCTGTCGTGCGAGCAGCTCGCGGCCGCGGTGCCGTGGAGGAGACAGCCAGGGCGGCTGGCAGGCCCCATGCTTCCTCCACACCCCGCCGCTTCCTCTGCCGCGCTCTGGCTGCCCCTGCCCGGAGGTGGACAGGCCGATGAGGATTCCCGTGGGGGGTCGTCTGAGGACACTGGGGTGGAATAAGCAGTGCTGAATCGTGAGAGAAAGCTCCTCGCAGCGCATCTGCCGGACCAGAGCCGTGACGCCCGGGCAGGCGTTTCATCTCATTCTCCGTCTGTGTGGGAGCTCCTCGCCCTGAGAAGTTAGGTGGGAAAGGGATCAAGTAACTGACTTACGGGAGGTCTGACCACCTCGGAAACGACCAATCTCCAGTTTCGGGAAGTGATATGATTTTTGCATCCTTGGCAAAGCCCATTCAACCGATTCTAGGTTATTGCAACAGGTGTTCCTGTGTCTCTACTGCGTGGGCCGCCTGACTCGCCCTGGGGCTCCAGGGAGACCCTCTGCGTGGTGTGTCAGGGCGCCTGGCATTGTGACCCGGTGGGGTCAGCAGAGTCTGGGAAGGGATGCCCAGATCCTGGGTCACGATGCCCCATGAAGGGGCATCTCTGAGGGGCGGGCTCTGGACGCTCTGTCCCTCCCTGAGCATCCTGACTCTGCTGCCTTGTCTTGAACACAGCTACTGACCACACATCCGGAATTCTGGTGCAGGAGATGCTGTCGTTAATCACCCAGGTTGCGTCTTTCATGAGGGCTGCAGACTTATCTTGACGCAAACTGCGCTGAGAACTTGTGCAGATCAGCAGACTCCTGGATGACTCAGGAGCGCCTGGTCTCCCAGCTGACCAGTCAGACCGGCTGGGCGCCCAAATGGTAAGAGACGGTCCGCAGAGAGCAGTGGGGGAGTCTGCCGCTCACTGCCGGATCACGTGCTACATGGGCAGCTTTCCCGCCTGCTAACAAATTTTTACCCAAGAAGATAAAAATGTTCCTGTGTCTGAATACTGGAAAACTGCTTCTGCAGAAGGTCCCCCCATCACTCCTTAGGGTTCCTGGAGAGGCGAGAAACTCAGAGTAGGGCGAGGCCTGTCCTCTAAGTCCGTCATTCTCGTTCCAGAGCTATACTTGGGGTGCGTGTTTATTGGTGTGGCCGTGGGTCTGTAACCTGGGGCAGAAGCCCCAAGGAACCCGTCCAGAAATGGGGGTGCATTTCTGCCATGAAGATGCCCTGTGGGCAGCGCCACGGCCCAGGTGAGGAGGGAAGGCTCTGCCTCGGGGCCTTGGGCCTCCTCCCCTCCGCGACGGCTCCTCTGCTGTCTCTGGAGCTGGAGGGGCCGCCAGGCCCGACCCGGCTCCTGCCCCATTCTATTGGCCAGAATGTCTGCACAACCCCATGAGCAGCTGAAAAGTCTGTAAAAGAACGGGGAGCCCCTCTCTTCCACAGGGCAGGATCCCCTTTTTGGCTTTTGTTCTCTGGAGCCTTTGGTCTGCTGGGTGCTCGACGCTCCGCTCTGTCATGTCTCTGCTGTGACGCAGGGGAGTGGCGAGAGGTTCGTCAGCCGTTAACTGCCACTATTTATAACACGACATAAAGCAGTTTTACCCAAGAAAACTGGGGTTCTTCTCGCTCCTGAGGGGCCAGGACAATGGTTCCAGGGGTCTGGGGTGTTGTCCTCAGGGAGGGATGTGTTCTCCAGCCTCCCGGCACTCACGCCCGCTCTCCTCCTCTTGAGTCACCGCTTGTTTCGGGCGCGAAAGCTGGGGTCTCACCCAGGGAGCAAATCTGGCTTCTCACCGCGGCCGGCCGCGGCTGCTGGCCTGTACGTGCATCTGTTTCCTGGGGCTGCGACCACAGAGTATCCATTGTGATGACGTGACATAGATTCCAGGACTTGCTTCTGGGCTGGCAGAACAGTCAGGAAACTCGGTATCTGACGTCACAGACTCGCCTGGCGCTGGTTAAATGAAGCATCTTTTTAACATATTGTTGCCTTTGTACAATTTAAAGGGGTGCACAGAATTCAACAACATCTTAAGTATGGGGCTGGGCGTCCGGGTACTGGTGAGGCGGGTTACTGTGGCGTCTCAGCAAAATACCCGCGTCACGCCCAGGATCTCACAGTAACCGCTGGGGGGTCCACGCACGGCGGGGACGGCGTGGGCAGGGCTGGGGGGCTGCCTGACGGCTCCCAGCCACGCCCGCAGAGCCGGCCCCACTCCCAGAGGTGGCGAGCGGCGGGAGGGCCCTGGCCCCGGGACTGGACGAGGCTCCCAGCTTCCCTGCTGCCCTGCCCGGTGAGAGCACATGCAGAGGGCGTGGGGCGACGTCCGGAGGAGAACAGGGCAGCAGCGTCTCCTGCGGCCACGCCGGAATCGGCCAGAATGGGCTTGGATCCCCCCACGCCGCGGCCCTGCGAGGGCGCCCCCCTCTGAGCTCTGAAATGGGGCAAAGACTCCGAGGGGAAGGGCGTGAGGGTGGCGACGTCCCGTGCCTGGCAGGTGGAAAGTCCCACCGCGCCCTGTGGCCTGTCCTGGTCTCTGTGGCCGGGATGGAGTCGGGTCATGGGACCGGTGTCAAGGGTGCCCCAGTGGACTGGCCGCAGACGGGCTGCTCGAGGAGGCGTGTGAACACACACGTGCGTGTGTAAACACACACAGATACACTGTGGGCGCAGAAGCGGCGTGACGCTGGTCGGCGCCAGGTGGAATTGCTTCGTTCTTTGTCATTCATCTTTCGTTCGGCCACTGTCCCGTCCGCGGCTGACACCCCAGGGGCGGCCTGGCCCCGACGCCCGGTCCTTAGCACCAAACGGCCGTCGGCTCAATTCCCACGGCACCGGGGTCTCTGTGAGAGGCCGGCGTTGTTTCGGTCCGGCTCATCAGATGAGGAGCAGGAGGCATTCTTCCCACCTGAGGGGCTGACGCTGCCCCCCCCGGGACCCACACACGGACTCTGGAGGAGACGCAGGGCCTGGAGCTGCGCTGGAGGCCTCGGGCGGCCCTTGGAGGGGCGGGGTGCGGAGGCTGTGCGGAGGCCCAGCCGCCGGCCCTGGGGCTGTGCCGACCGAGGGCGAGAAGGTAGCAGCGACCCGGCCGAGCTGGGCCAGGAGGGGGGTCGGCCAACATGGGGCAGCTGAAGCAGCTTGAGGGCATGATCCGAGTGTGTCCCCTCTAATTCATTTGCTGAAGCCTGACCCCCCCAGGCACAGTATTAGCGGGCGGGGGCTTTGGGAGGTGGCTGGATCCTGAAGTGGGGCCTGAGGGGGTCCGTGTTTTTATAAAGGATCCCAGAGAGCCCCCTCGCCGCTCCCGCTCTGTGCAGACCCCACCTGAGGAGCGGGGTCCGCTCGCACCTGATCGTGAGCGTCCAGCCTCCAGAAGGGTGAGCAGTTGTTCACGAGCTACAGACCTGTGGGATTTTATGGCAGCCGCTGAAGCGGACCAGGACAAAGTGTTTTGTTACTTCTGTAAAGTGCAATGGCGAGCACCCCCCTCCGCACACACCCCAGTTAGCACCATTTAGCACCGTTTAGGGAGCCCCGATGGTCTGACCTCCGGGCTCACGGCAGGTCTCTGCCTTCCAGGCTCAGCCGCATGAAGCTGCTGTTCCCAGAAGGTCTCTCCCTCCGCCCCCCACCCCGTCACACTCACACGTGGTTCTCACCTGTACAATCCCAACCAAACTTGAGTCCTCACCGTACAGGTGGGTTTTTTCTGGGCTCCCTTCTTCAACACAGGGGAGGGCCCTCTCTTACTTAGCCAGTGATTGCACGGAGTCTGCTGTGGCCCGTGCCGCACACAGGTGTTCGCAGCTCAAACCCGCGCGCAGAGCCCGGCCGGGTGTTCGTCCACACGCTGGGGCGAGCCAGCGCAGGGCGCCGCCCGTAACCACAGGCAGCTGGTGGGCGGGGTGGGGGGTGGGACGGGAGCAAGCCAGCACCTCCCAGGCACTGTGTGAGGCTTGAGCTCAGCTGAAGGATGACTCCTTGGTGGTGGGGGTGTTGGAGGGGAGGTTCGAGGTCAGGGTGACACAAAAAGGCCACGCAGAGCCGGTTGGGAGAGTGGGGAGGTGGTGGCCAGAGGTCTAGGCTGGTGACACCAGCACTTGCCCCCCCCCCCCCCCCGCGCAGAGCCACTGACGCTGCGGAGTAGGTGGCGTAGTTACGGGGGTGGGGAGGCTGACCTCCGGTTGTGGAAACCTGCAAGCTCAGGTGGGAGTGGAGGGGCACAGAAGGGACCAGCGGCGGGTGTGCGAGGAGACATGTGTTGCTGAAGCCAGGGCCAGCGGGGGGTTGCTGAGCAGCACCAAAGGCGGGGTGCAGGCGGGGCAGGGGTCGGAGCCCTAGGAGGGCAGTGATGGATGAGAAAGCGGAGCTAGAGATGGAGCAGGGGGGAGGGGGGAGGAGGTGGGGGCTGGGCACAGAACGAGCCCATGACATGGAATGAGGCCCACAGTGCGGGCAGAGCAGGGCCGTCAGGACCAGCTCTGACAGGGAGTGGACACACGATGAGGGACGAGTTGCACAGAGGCCGCGGAGAGGCAGGAGGGCCGGGCCTGCGGATCCCAGGCCTCATCTTGGCAGAGCAGGAAGCAAAGCTATTGACAAAGGTTCAGGGCTGGGGCTCAAGGCTGTGGAACGCGGGTGAGATTTTGAGAAATTCCCAGAAGTCTTGACAGGGAGGGACTGGAGCTGATGACCCATAGGAGGACCCTGGAAGGTGGACCTCACGGGCTATGGCAGCGCCAACTCATGTTTTCCCTGCAGGTACAGTCCTGTGGAGGTCCCCATGGGCCTGGGCAGCATCCAGAAGGACCCCAGGGGCCAGGGCAGCATCCAGGAGGATCCCAGGGTCCTGGGAAGTGCCCAGGAGATCCTCACAAGCCTGGGAAGCATCCAGGAGGCCCCATGGGCAGGGCAGTGTCCAGTAGGACCTCAGGGCCAAGGCAGCATCCAGGAGGACCTCACTGGCCAGGGCAGCATCCAGGAGGTCCCCACAAGCCTGGGAAGTATCCAGGAGGACCCCAGGGCCAGGGCAGCATCCAGGAGGCCCCACGGTGCAGTGCAGCACCAGGAGGTCAAGCCCAGAGCTGGGGGTCTTGTCCCAAAGCCATGTTTCTAGGCCACGCTGCATCCCTGGGGTCAGCGGGGCGAGGACAGGAGAGTGTTAGGAAACAGTATCACTTAGTGTTTAAATCAAAATAACGGCGGCTCTCTGCTCCTCACTCTTGGCTTATTCCCTCAGGTGTTTGCTTCCCGGGAAAGGCTCGCTTCCCGCCGCAATCTCTGTTTCTGGTCTGCGCCTCGCCCCGCCCGAGCTATTGATACGCGTTGCTAATGTGCATTTATAGGTCACCCGGCAGCGCGTGTCGGCCGCCGAGCCTCCGAGGCGTTACACTCCACGTGACATGCTGCCTGGGCCACGCGGCGCCGCCTATGCAAGCACGGCCCATATGCATTTCCTTGCGATTTAATGTTCTGGAAGCGTGTTTGTGACCGGGCGTGCTTCTTTATGTTGACATATTGTTCGCCGGGTTTCATCAGTCAGATGATATGTCACATCACATATGGAACACGAGGAAAAGTGACATTAATGACAATCTGCTGACATTCAGCGCTGCAACACATCAGGTTAAAAATAAAACAGGGAAAAAGGTCTTCTTGTTTCCAGTGAGGGCTTTTCTTTGTTCTTTTTTTTTTTTAACTCCTGAAGGAGTCTCTGCGCCGGCAGGAGCTAACGACTGCTGAGGCTCGCGGGCAGCGGGAGGGGGCCCCAGCCACCCCGCGGGAGCCTCCGCGTGCCCCCTGCAGCCCCGGCCTGCAGCCCGCGTGTGGCTGGGCCGGCCCTCGGCCGGGGTTGGCCTGGGGGCAGCA